ATAAAAGAGATAATATCAAGCTCCCAAAGTCATCATGGCATTTGGTTCTGATGCCTTCAAGCAATTAATTATTTTACTAATGTTTCACTAATTAGGTTAAGAAAATTTGGATAGCCATGCTATAAATAAATAGAACTACTCACCCTGTAATGCTACAATGATGTATGTCAGAAGCCAAGGCAAGGGAATTATAATAAAGACCAAAAAAAGGGGGAATGAGAGGGCAAGGAATAAAAACATAAATCTAAAAACAGAGGAAAACGACTAATCTGTTATCACTCTCTGAAGCTTAGTCACTCTGAAGATCCTTGAGATTTCCTCTTTTCTCAATAGACACCCTATCTTCCTACACATGATCCTTTGCTCCTGGTGGCCTCCTACCAGGCCTAACATTAAGACCCAGCCATCATAGTGAGCTGGCCTATGATTCAACCTTTACATATTTCAACAATCATCACATTTGCCAAGTCTAAATCTGAGGGAGAAAGGAACTTCTGGGAGTAGGTTAAACATAAATAAGTCCTGCAACTGTCCTGATCCTAAAGTCATGCATCTGGAAAACAATAGCTAACGAGGGGATAAGGTGTTCATCCCATGAACCTCCCTTAGAGTATCATAGAGGGCTAATTAACCCAGGCCAGACCCTACGGAACAGCTTTCCTTACCTATGTGAGCATCAATCTCTACAATTTTCTCAATGCTGCTGGGCTCCATGAGCGGGGAGGTAATTCTCTTCTCCACAGCTAGGCACACACCCTCTGATGTCTGGATCCCAATGGCTGTAGAACCAAGCTAAAGAGAAACACATGTACAGGTCAAAAAACATACTCACCAGATATCTCACTGTATATCTTCATAAGATAAGAGCTTTAATTGGCCGTATCTAATATGCAGAGAGAACAAGGAGCACCCTAATAATATACTGTTCCTGTCAACAGCAATAACATTGATTTATAGAATTTTATGCTTCTATAAGAGCAAGTTCAATAAAGTCTTGAAAACATCTGAAAAATCCACTCTCTAATGCCAATATTTGGGGGAAGGGAGGATTCTAAAGTTCTAAACATAGTGGGCAAGAAAAGAATAGAACTAATGTTTTTTTCTGGACCTGGTCTCTTTTCACTTCTGCTATTTATCTTGGTCTGTCCCAAAAAGTGGTATTTCCCAAAAAAGGAAGGAAGGAAGGAGGAAGTGGAGGGAGGGAAGGAGGGAGAGGAAAGAAAAAGAAACATCTCCAGATCACCACCAACAATATAAAAATTTAATCATTCAAGGTCACTAGAAGTCAACAATATAGCTAAATTCATCTCTTCATCTCCATTCCAACATCCCAGTCATCTACCTCTATGCCTCAGTTTCCTGCAAAACAAGGATAACGATAATACCTACATTGAGAAGGATAAACACATTAATACATAAAATGTTTCAAATGGTGCCTACCACATAATACACGAACAAATGTTATTCTTGTTAACATCTAGATTACTTCAATAGCCTCTTCCCATCTTTGATATCTCTCTCCCAATGTATCTTTCATGTTATAGCCTAATTTAGCTAATAAAATGTTATTATTATATTTCTTCTCTGAAGAATATCTCCCTATACTACCTATAACATAAAATCCAAACAAACTTCCAGAGCTTTCATAACCTGGTGCCACTTTTCCCTTCCAACTTTATTACTCATTATTCTCCAACGAAATTCCTCAAGTACAGCCCAACCCATTTGCTCAAGCCATATTATCTCCTACCCTTGCACCCCTGCTGTGCTGTCTCCCCTGGAATATCTTTTTTCTGCCTATCCAAACTCCACTCCTTATTCATGAAGCCTTCCATGATTGTGCTCTCTGCTCTGAATTCCCATTATGTTTAGTTATTTCTACAAAGCAATCACTGCCAAGAGTGAGCATTGCAAAGAGTTTCAAAGAATTCCATGAATCTTTTGCTTAACATATCTAAAGACTGAATGATCATATCTCACACATTTTTCAAATGTATAAAGTTGTAACTTTATTTAGAAGTGTTATTAAATGTATACCAGCTTTTTATTTTTATTTCAGCATATTATGGGGGTACAGGGTACAGATGTTTAGGTTATGTATGTTGCCCTTGCCTCTCCACTCCCCCGCAAGTCCGAGTTTCAAGTGTGCCCATCCCTTGGATGGTGCGCATTGCACTCTTTGTGTATGCAAATACCCGCCCCTCCTCCTCCCTATACCAGCTTTTTGTCAGGTATTTTCTTAATCAACAGATACCTGTATAACTATAGGAGATGAACTGTCGAAAAGCTTTATGTAAAAAATAAGTGCTAATACTTCTAATTAAAGGTGCAGACTGAATACATACAGTAGCTCTACTCCTTCCTCAGGTCTATTAAT